CAGGCTGGGGCCAGTTATTTCATGAGAGGGGTACAATAAAAGCGGGTTAAATTGACAGTATAAAGTAATTTTGTAAAATAAACATAAAATACAATAATTAGTATTTGTTTTGGTAAATTTAAGTGACAATTTAATAAAAAAAACATGAACAGTATTTGCTTTTATCAGGTAATGAACAGTTTAATCTCCACTGTACATCTCTGATTTGATTTAATTCCAATAAATCGTAATATTGTAACCTTTTTTTGGAGGGGAGCCATAGGGGGGTACCTGGTCAGTGTTACGGGGTCACTGGCCCCTGTTTGCCCCCCCTAGAACCGCCCCTGCATAGCATAGTTTAGGAAACGGGCGCTCTGCACGGAGGAACCGCAGCAGACTCCCGCGGGAGGTGCTGCGGTGTAAAGCTCACGATCGGAGCAGAGACACACGTTCACTGACAAAGCCGACAAACTATAGCTGGTCGCAGAGATCTGCTATTCTAAAATAAAGTCAACAATATCGACCATTGGCTGGTGTCTTTCTCTTAGTTTAAGAAACGCTTGATTTGATCAAAAGTTAGTCAAACAAAAAAACGTTATTTAACTTAATGGTAGTCGAACGTAAAACCAGAATATCAGACGAATTCATGTTAAGAAACCTGTCAGCGTATTACCTATTTTTCTCCACACTTTTTCTCGGATTCATCTGTCACTCTGCTGGCTGTCTGTGTGACTGACGGAAGAGACTGTGGTCGCCAATCAGCCAAGTAGATTTGAAGAAAATAAAGAAAGGGGAAACCCGCGAAAAATTTGAAAAGTGCAAGTCATCGTCGCGTCATCTTATGTTACAGCTAGAAAGAGTGTTTTATTGATTTTTCGAATTATTAAGAACCTTAAACATATAGAAAGAAAAGTTTTAACATGTATATATTTTTTGTGTAAACTAGGGTTGTCAAGTTAACGCGTTAATAACGCGTTAACGCAAAACAAAAATTAACGCCACTAATTTTTTTAACGCGATTAACGCATGTGTATTTTTTGTCCCCGGCCGCCCCGTAGTTTCAGAGCGCATAGAGTTTAAAATACCATCTCCAAGCTGATGCTGACAGCCCCGCTCCTGCCGCCCGCTTGTGGCAGACCACACTTCCACGCTCACCGGCAGGCACCGACTGGCCATCTGGAGGACCGGGAGGGTGTGTGTATGTGTGGCCCGAGCGAGCGAGAGAGAGACATTACGTGCATTGTTGTTGTTAGCATCTGGTGCTAGCTAGCTGCGCTAACGGATATGGAGCTGTTTAAATGAAAACAGAGGAGCGACATTTCGCCACAACTGCGCCGAGCACTTGACTTTATGCAGGCAGCCAGACAGTGGGACATTGTACGAAAAGTCAGCACACTCAGCACGGATAGTGCGCAACATGATTGCAGCGTCCAGGCAGCTCCGGTTCGAGCATATGCCTTGAGTTGCACATAGCTCCAACGATCCATCTCTCTCTCACACACACACACACACACACACACACACACACACACACACACACACACACACACACACACACACACACACACACACACACACACACACACACACACACACACACACACACACACACACACACACACACACACACACACACACACACACACACACACACACACACACACACACACACACCATTTGTATTGTATGAGAGGTTCCAGGTTGAATTGAGGTGAATATTTGTAATGTTCAGAGGTTGTTGTGTTTAATATTCATTATAATATTTGTCATTGTTCAAATGATAATAAACATTAGCATAAAGCATATTTGTCCACTCATATGTTGATAAGAGTATTAAAAACTTGAAAAATATTCCTCTAAGGTACATTTAGAACAGATAAAAAATGTGCGATTAATTTGCGATTAATCGCGATTAACTATGGACAATCATGCGATTAATCGCGATTAAATATTTTAATCGACTGACAGCCCTAGTGTAAACATATGATATAGGCATGCTGCATACATTGTTAAAAATATGCGAGGGGCATGACGTCAGAGCATTTTCCTATGTGCCGGTGCTTAGCCCCGGACAGCCCCGGCCCAATTTAACCCCTGGCTACTACCTACTCTTACAATGAATGTATTTCTTGGCATGGCAACTTGAATTATGGGTTATTGCTTCTTTTACTCTAATGATCTGAATATGTCTTCCTCCTCTCCCTCAGTTGGTGAAGGTGTACGGGGAGGACAGCCACAGCAGGTCGGTGTGGGTTTCTCGAGCAGCGACAGCCAGAGAGGTGTGTCACATGTTGGTGCAGACGGCTCACTGCAGCGACCAGGAGAACTGGGCTCTGCTGGAGCTCTATCCCACTCTGGGCCTGGGTACGACTGAGCTGTAGGATAGACATAATGTTTAAAGGAATACTTCACCCACAAAATGACCATTTGTATACCAATTACTCACCCTGGGTTAGTTTGAATTCATTAAGAAAATGTAAGATAACAGGTTCTTGCATACCTCCATGGTTGGCGAAGAATAAAAAAACGTAATGAATTGAAGTTGGTGAAACCCAACAACATCAAAACAACATATCTCACAATACTCTTGCAGTTTAATCCAAGTCTTCAGTTCTTCCTGAACACATGATTTCAATATCTTTATTGAGTTTTTTTTAACGTATTTTTGACAAATACAAATAGTGACACTCACAAATACAGGCAATACTGAAATGACACAGGCTCAAGTCAGTCAGTTATTAATGTATAATATATACAAATTCCTCTTACTTTTGACAAAAAAATAAATAATAATCTAATAAAAAGAATAGTAAAAAGACAAACATAAAACTATTTTATACCGGCTTTGTACTTTGGTGTTGAAGACAGTTTAATAAGAGATGCCATACTTTTTCAAATTATTTTAAAATAATGAATGTAATTAATTGACACCAGTTTAAATAGTGAGATTTTAAAGGGGCCCTATTATGCTCATATGCCCAAAAATGAGTGTTACCAAGTGATGTCATTATGTTACGGAAGTAAAAAAAAAAGAGTCCAGTGGATGTGTTTCAGGCAGGTGGGGAGTGTGAAATACTTAATTATCTTCAAAGAATAAAGGTAAAATGGGGTGAGTAATTGATATACATATAGTTATACTTTTTTGGGGTGAACTATTCCTCTCCTAAATGGTAAAGAATGCCTTATGAAATGTTCTCCTGTCTACTCAGAGAGATGCCTGGAGGACCACGAGGTGGTGGTGGAGGTTCAGGCCACCTGGTCTCTCAAAGGCGACACGAGGCTTGTTTTCTGCAAGAACTACGCCAAGTACGAGTTCTTCAGGAAGCCAGTGGTAAGCAGCACACAGCCTTTTTTTATAGCTCAAAATGTAACAATGCAACTCTGAGAATAGAATAAAAAAAACAAGAGGGAATACATTTACATCACTTGCTTTTATATAACTACTAAAAAACAAAGTCCTTGGCGGGTTGCGTGCTGCCGCAGACAGGCTTACTTCATGCCTCAGGTATTTCATGACATCAGATCTGCTCTTAAACAAAGGTGACACTTGAAATGAAAAACTGGTTTTGATGATCCTCCCACTGGTGTTTCTTTAGAGTATGCCTCACTGTCTCCAAAGGCACTAAAGTGAATTTAATCATGGACCCACTGCATTTCACTCATAAAATGTGTCCTACACTGTGACCATGTGTCATGGAGCAATGCATACCACTGCGTCATGCACACAGGATACAAGTCATTCATAGCTGTAAATTATTTGTTAACTATTTTTAATATTAAATGATCTGCTGATTTTCTTGATTTATCAATTGATTGCCAGTCTAGCTGGACATCTCTAAGCGGTTGCCGAATCACAACCAAGCCGGCCAGCTAACCAATCAGAGCAGACTGGGCTCTGGTTTCAGACAGAGGGTGAAAAGAGGTGCTGCAGCACAGGCAGTATGAGAAAAATAAAGAGCTTTTTGAACATTAAAGCATGGAGACATGTCACAGTAGAGACACTACATACAATAATAACCTGAAAATGAGCATATTATGTCCTCTTAAAGCTCTACAGTCATTTCAACACATCCAGGTGCATACAGTATGCAAACAAAGACACCAAAAGGACCTCTTGTTTCCCTCCGAGCACATTTGAAATGTGACGCCTGTTGGTTTTGTGCACAGGTGGCTAACAATGCATGGCTGATCATTTAGTTAAGGCTTTGTCCGAACTCTATGTAATGATGTTTCATCAGGTTTCCAACAAAGGAGCATGTGTTTAATCTGCATTTTCAGGATAATCACTGTCAAAAGCAGAATCCTGCAGCTTCCTTGTCTTTCAATGAGGGTTTTATGATGACATCCTTCTGCTTCCTTTCTCAGCTCTTCTTCCCAGAGACTATGATCTCAGACAGCGCTGATGTCACCAAGGACATGACGTCCTCAGAGCTCATTCAGGTAAACCTGCTGAAATCACACCGATTCATGTAGAAACACTGGTAATCATCAGTGGACCTGTCTGCTTAAAGTTTGTTTTAAATATATTTATTTAGACACAAAGGCTGTTAAAGCAAAGGTATCTATTTTTAAATAAGTTCTATAAATTGCCATATTCATTAAAAGTATGATAACTTAACTGAATATGTATTCAGCTTCATTTTATTTTACAGAACACTGCCTAGAATTTTTTATTTTGTATTAGTCTTTACTTCTTTAAAATCAAAGAATATTGCAAAAATGAGTTTTGGCTAACTAAAAAATATCTTTTTAGAGAGATATAAAAGACCGAAAAAGCCACACATCCTAACATTCTCTGTGCTCGGGACGGATCGTTTTTGGCAATTTTTTGAAGAATAAATCAATAACCAAAAATGTCTATCAATATATTTTCTGTTTCAACCCTTGATGGGTTCAAACTGTTTATCATGCCAATTTTGTTCCCCTACACACACATATCGGAAAAATATTATCGTTTACCGAAAACAAGGTCCTCTTGCAATGATCAAAAATTAGGAAATAATTTATTTTCATGTAAAAAACTAAATCAAGGGCATATATTTTGAAATACTTGTTTTGCAACAGTTTTTTTCTATATCATAAAATATTGTGTTCATACATTTTTATTAACACAATTTTCCTTTTTCATACATAATTTTTTGTGCATTAGTAGCCTGAGAACAACAGCTCACTGTTCTGATCCCTTGTGTTCCTCAGAACCTGCTGAAGTCCGGGACGTGTCCGGAGATTCAGGGCTTCCTGCAGGTCAAAGAGCCCAGTCGTAAGGCCTGGAAGAAGGTCTACTTTTTCCTCCGCCGCTCCGGGCTCTACTGCTCCACCAAAGGCTCCTCCAAGGTCAGAGTCAAACATAATGAATAAATAAGCGCAGACTAAATGGATAAATGACACTTTTTTTATAAAATAATCTATGAAAACCCACAACCCGGCCATTCATCATCATCTGAAAACAAAGGACAAATCATGTGAGAGGAACACTTCTATCAGCAACTTCATTTACGCTTAAGATTATACAAAAATAACTTGTTCCATTTATTTTGGCTGATATTGCAATTTCAGTATGCTGAATCTTCAGCATACTGAAGGGGTTGATCTTTTTTAAATCATAATTCTCATCATCATTAAAACTGCTTATGGTGTGGTCTATACCAAACAAATCTGTTTTGTAGAATATTATTTGAAGGCCGGGATATCTTTGCATCTCTACAATATTGCATTCAAGTGGTATTTTAACACATGATCAAATATTGTGCTTCCTGTGATTTGGGAATTGTACTAGTCCATATTGCCATTTCAATAACATTTTGATCAAACAGGAGCCTCGCCACCTTCAGTATGTTGCTGATCTGGACGATCTGAACGTGTACACAGTGGTGAACAGCCGTAAACTGTACGGAGCGCCTACAGACTTCACCTTCTGCATCAAGGTAAACACTTCAGAGAGATGGGATTTTAGATGTCTAACAAAAGAAGAAATAGAAAACAGCTGAGTAAGAACAGGCAAAACAAGACAGAAATAACAACATACAAATTAAAAAAATTATAATAAAAATAAGATCAATAAAGAAAATCTAGTAAATCTGCCTCTGCTTGGTCACATTTCTCATAAAGAATGTAGAATATCAACTGTTCAAAATTTTAATTATCTGATGGACTTAGCATTTAATGACAATTGTGAAAACTAAATCTCAAAGGAGCTGTGTGTACTATGTGTGTGTTTGTACAGCCCTCCAAGAACCCTGTGCGTACTCAGGACCTGAAGATCCTGTGTGCTGAGAACGAACAGACTCGAACTTGCTGGACGTCTGCTTTCAGACTCTTCAAGGTTTCCTGTCTTTTTCCTCTTTACAAAACTGTATTTACTTAAGTATATGGGAATACAATTTGGTAGAACATCATCCTTGACTATAGCAGTAACCTTTATTTTGTGTGTGCGCAGTATGGGAAGCAGCTTCAGTGCAACTACCAGTTATCCAAGTCGGCCCCGAAAATCCTGGAAGGAAGCAAACTCACAGATGCCAAAGTGAGATCATCAGACATGATATGATTTAAGAGGAGAAATCATTGTGTAGCGTCGTCTCACATTTCTCTTCTCACACACGCTGCTTGTTTCTCTGTGTGAGCAGTCAAAGTCCGAGGCGAGCCTGGTGGCCATGGACTTCTCGGGCAAGGCCGGCGGGCGGGTCATCGAGAACCCAACGGAGGCCCAGAGCGCAGAGAGGGAGGAGGGGCAAGCCTGGAGGGTGAGGACATGAGGGGAGGGTCATGGCTGCTGAGCGGGAGCAATACAAACGGTGATAAACACTGATATGGAGGAAGTAATGACGCATGGCTGTACCTCCGTCCAGCCGAGATTCACTTAAGTCTTAAAGGTTAATTTATGTTTCAAAGATTAATACCCAAAGGTAAACAGCTTGCACACACATAGATATTTCGAACAAAGTACTACTATAATCTCAGTACTTAAATCTGGCCATGTCAAACAAAAACATGCTTACGTTTGAACCTGGTTAGCTTCATCAGAGTGTGAAGAAAAATGGCATTCATGTCATTTTTATGCAGGAGTTGGCAAACATGGTAACTTACTTCCTATAAACATATTTTTCACCATATGATAAAACTGGTGGAATATATCAGAGGTTGCAGTTCTATATTTCTATATTTTGAGAGGAGGCATGTACTAGATAGATGGTGCGGAAAAAAATCCTTCTCAGACCCTGCTCAGGTATTATTGATCACAGGCTGACTCTTTCTGACCGATTCTTTGTTGCAGGCTTTGCATTTTTTAAAGAAAGAAAAAAAGTCAACATTTATCTAATATACAAAATAGTTTCATGATTCTTCTATGACAGTATAGTGTTTAAATATTGGATTGTGGACAAACCAACACAGACCTTTGAAGACGTCATTCTGGGCTTTGGGAAAATATTTCCCCTTTTTCTGAAATGTTATAGACCAAACAACTAATTGATTATAGAGAATGAAATCATGTAGGATTGTTTAAAAAGCTAAAATGTAAGGATGTAGAAAACATCCACAAATATCTGACTGTGATTTTTTTCTTCCACTGGTGCAGAGGAGAGAAGCCCTGAGGTGCAGTCTGCCCAACTCCAACGCCGCCGCCAGACCGTCCTGTAAGTCCACATGAGAGGACAATACATCACACCTGTGGAATGTGAAATACATGTCCCCTCTCACTTTTCTGATGTTTACCGTCTGTGTCTGTCTGTAGCCATCCATAAGTCCCAGCCGTGGTTTCATGGTGGCATCTCCAGAAAGGAAACACAGCGGCTGATAGAGAAGCAGGGCCTGGTGGACGGGTGAGTGGAGAGACTGCAGGGGAGACCCATTCACTAAACACTGTGGTCTCAAAAACTCTCTTATGGAACCAAAACCCAAGTTGAATGAATTGAATCTCCGCCCAGTGTAAACCTGTAGGGAGATAGTGTGTTTGATTGGGTGTGTCTGTCTGTTTGCAGTTGTTTATTTATTTAGTTGTTTATTTGGAATACTAATTACATTCTATGAATGATCAGACCTACATTGTTTGTGCTGATTAATGACTGCATGCTGAAGATTCAATAGATTCACAGGCTTTATTGATCTCAGGCAGGATTCAAACCTGTATCCACCACAGCAGGGACTTACATTGGGCTTAAATGAGGCTGCAGCTATATCCACTGAGCTTTACAGTGGCCCTGCAGGTCATCTTTGTCGTTGCTCAAATAGTGACAGCCGTACAAAAGTTTGGTCTCATTTTCAAAAGGAATATCAGCAGAATACACTATAACTGAAACACTGAATGTAGGTATGTTACAAGATTAATAAATCCAGTTTGATTATAAGGGAGCTGGGAGGGAGAATAGATTGATGCTGTATATGAATTTGGATAAGTCACTTAATATACTATTATGTCATACACGGTTAACACTTGCAGTGTTTGAATTTCAACCAAGTAGCTGTTTAGAATCCTAAACAGCTGCTGTGCCCTCACAGGAAGTGATGTTCCCGGCTGTTAGCTAGCAAGTTAGCTTGACATTTTTTTGATCACGTTACATACTGTACTACTCAATCAACTAAATTAAATAAACAGTGGCTTCATTATACAAAAGTACAGTGGTACGTTAATTTATATGTGAAGTGAAGGTGAGAAGTGTACCGTGTTGCCGTACTTCTCAGTGTTAACATACTTATGCACTCACTAAGAATGTGAATTAGGACAGAGTACGAGATTTCATTCCTTAATGGGAGGGTAGAGGGAGACGCCTGCTTGATGTCTTTACTGCACTGAGTGACCTTTTCTAGTTTTACGTAATAAACCCTGACCAGTGCATTAAAGTAAGTTAGTATCTGAACTGTTTCTCTGCACGTGTGTTTCTGTGTAGGATGTTCCTGATCCGTGAGAGCCAGCAGCACGCCCAGTGCTTCGTCCTCTCGCTGTGCTACAAGCTAAAGACCAAACATTACCTGGTGATCCCTGTGAGTTCCCCTCAAAGAAACTCCATTCTACCACAGATAAAACACATTTGTATTTGCAATTACAAAATGTGTTAAATATGTACTTTATTGTAACTGTCTTTGTATTATCTGCAGTGCGAGGAGGGAGGCAGGAAGTACTTCACCATGGACGACGGGCTGACTCTCTTCATAGACCTCCTGCAGCTGGTGGAGTTCCACCAAATCAACAAGGGCATCCTCCCAGTGTGCCTCAAACACCCCTGTGTCTGTGTAGCGCTGTGACACCCTTTACAGCTCCTGACCTCTGCCCTGTTGATCCTTTTATATTACCTCGGCCTCAAAAGCATGTTTGTCAGTCTTTGGATTTTATTGACTCTATAAGCACAGCTGATAAAGAGCAGACTGTTGGTACAGCAGTGCAAAGTGTAGCCTGTGTGATAACGCTATCAGGTTTCTAAGACTCCTGGGAAGCCCCCCCTCCTCTCTTTAGTTTTTAAATCATTCCAGCTACACATCCAGACAGTGGTTCGTTTTTTATTTTTAATAATCGAGCCATGTTGGACAGACTTTTAGTGCACTTTGATTCAGATCCACGTGATGAGAGGTGTGAGGGCATGCAGGAGGACATTTTATTGGAGGACTGAGAGGATGTGGCCACCAGAGGGCACTCCGAGTCAACACTCAGAAGAGGAATGTGTATTTTTCAGCCATGCAATGTAAGACATGTATTTTTTGTAGTGTTGTAATCATGAACATGCCCCAGGTTGCAATGATGTAGCATGTCAATTCTCACTCCTCTGACTCTGTGAAGTTTTGTACAGTAACTTTCTTGTTGGTGCCTTAAAAACAATCTGATGTTTTAATTAGAACAAACTTTAAGTACTTTCATTGCTACGTTTGCACAATGGTGGTGAAGGGGACTGCAGTGTCTTGTGTTTAAACAACCAAATATATAACATGGAAGGGTTTTATCAGGGTGTTTTTTACCCCCGGAGAAAGCTTTAATTAAGACTTTATGACAGCGCTTTATTTTAGATAAGACAAAATATATTATTCTTTTTTAGGACGTTTTTTTTTGGTGTTTGATATTGGCTAAAAAGGTGAGCAAGTTTAACCTTTAAAGTCGTATTAGCATAAAATAGTCGGCAAAGCGGAAGTCTAGACAAACATAGAATAAAGTTAGCAGTTAGCAGTGATTTTCATATATTTAATATCGAATTACTGATTTATTGCCAGTTAACTCCTTGGGAAATTCCAGCAGTAAAATCCAGCATTTCTGACCTTTTTGTTGATTGGTGGTTGTTTGATCATATTTTCTTTTACTTTAAATATTTGCACTTACTGTTTGCTTTTTATAATGAAGGTCCATTTCTTAGCCTGTCTACAAATATATGCATTATTATTATAATTCATCTAGTACTAGGCTTACTGTTTTCACCCTTTTTTGTCTTAAATCAAAAATTAGTTTTATACACTTTGAATGTTTGTGCCTTTTTCAGACCTGTTTTATATGTTAAATAAATATTTTTTCTTAAATTGTAAATATTGTCTATTGTGTTAACTCTAAACCAAGACTATTTATGGGGCTAGAATCAGGCCAGCAGTTTTGATTAAACGTAACTTATAGTTCAAGGTTACATTTGGGAAAAATACAAAAACGTAAAATCTGCAACTGAAAAATACACCTTGAATGACTAATTATGTGAAAGAATGTTTAAAAGGGAAAACAAATATTCACAAGTGTCAGAAATGAATCATTCATTTAATCTTAAAATGATCCAACAATATTTAGTGTGAATACATTTCTGTATAATTCAAATAATTCAGTACTATAAACTGGAACTCTTCATAGTTTTTCAAAACTACTGGCCAGGGAATCTGTCCATAGTCAACCCCTCTAAACTTATAAGATGGTTTTATTCATTTTTTTAAAGGTAAAAAAAGCTAGCTCAAAAAACTATGGAAATGTGACGTTTTTTCTTTATTCCTCTCCCTAAATACAAAAGACTAAATACACGTTAATGCCTTGTGCACTTACTGTATATATATATACAGTAATATATATATGTATATATATATTTTTTAAGTTACTGTATCATGTATATGCTCAAGTAAGAATACCCTAAAACTACTGGTACCTGTGTTGAGTTCCATTTCACCAATACATTATCTTAACAGTACTGCTCTTTCTGGTTCAAAGAAGATCATTATAAAACCATAATCAGCCTAAAACTAGACTAACTGAAAAAAAAGCTGGCCTGCATCCTGGCGATCTGATTGGTGGAGCCACATAAAAGGCAGCCGGGGGTTACAGTGTGCACAGATCCTCTTGGAGGCACAGAGCCTGCACCACAGCTTCCCAAGCTAAAGAGCTGATGTCTCTGTCGCTGACCTATAGAGTGTGTGTGTGTGTGTGTGTGTGTGTGTGTGTGTGTGTGGCTAAATACCAGTGTGCTTGGTAACCCTTACTTTTCACTGCAGACCTTCTCTTAAGAGGGGTTGCTATGGAAACACTTTGTCCTGGATGGCCAGGTAAATGAAGGGGGGTGAAATGAAGACGGACAGAAGGGATATAGGTCAGGAAGCTTTGAAATATGCAGTGAAATGAAGGATGTATGATCACTGTGGATATCAGCCTTCTCTGTTCAAAGTGGGATACATTCTACACTGTGGGTTTGTCATTTTGTAGGTTGCAATTGTCTGATAATATATCTACTTAGACTTCCAAACTGACATATATAACATTTTATCAATTATCCATATCTGTATATGTTAACACTTTCAATGTTAATGTATATGTATTTCCTCTTAAAATTTGTAAACATTTTTTAATATTATTTCCCTTGTTTAAATTCATACCTTTCCTATCCTGTGCCCAAATTTCCCTACAGGGATCAATAAAGGTTTATCTTATCTTAACTTATCTTTTCGTAACTTGCAAATTGTAACTAACTATACATACATGCAACTACTGTACTTCAGTTAAATTGTGAGGTACTAAGGTCAATGGTATGCTAATTTTACTTCTACTCCAATACAGTTGGAAATAATTGCAATCTAACTGAAATAACCATCTAGCAACACATTTAATTATAAGTTACATTAAAACATGAATGATTTTGCATTAAGGACTTTTGATTTTAACAGAGTATTTTCTTTCACTGGTATAATTACTTGGACTTTATCTGAGTAGCATTTTGCACCACGGCCAACAAATATTTTCAGGGAATTAATTACATGAATAGAAAGAAGTGTTTAAATACTATTAACGATATAGTAAATAACATCTATATTAAAATAGTATTTCAGGATTTTTTTTACTAAAGTGTCTGACTCAAAATATGGATATTGCTTAATGCTTTGACCACCAGAAGGACTTACCTGCCAGTAGAGAAAGCTTATTGTAAATCATGACATTATTTTTTGAAAAATACCAGTAGGCTATTATAAAATGGACTATTAAGAATTGTTATTAGGAATCTAAATATCACATGTTTCTAAAAACACATGCTGAATGCTACATGAGTCATGACACCTTTATATACAGTCTACGCATTATTGCATAATTATCAGAATGGTTTGTTAGAATCCATATGCTTGATGAAGAGAAACACACATGACAACATAACGTTTGGTACACCATTAATCACCGCCCGGCTCGCACCCGGGTGACGCAAATCAGACACTACCATTATTATAACAACTGCGTGGCAGGTGCGCCCTCCCTGCACAGAACATTTATTGGAAGGAACTAGAAAATCCCCAAAATGGCGTGCTAAAACATTAAAGTTGCTGTCGACAGTGGATACAAACACAAAAAGGAGCAAAATGTTACCAAAGCCTAGAAAAGTGTTTTGAACCTCCTTCGGGATGAGCGAGCTAACAAGCTAACGGTAGGTTTAGCACTGTTGCTAATGTTTCTAGC